GCAAGGTATAGTAAAAATCCACGCATCTCCACACTTTTGTGGGAGTTTGTTTTGCAATATCGCGTTGCAATTCTCTGTGAGTTTCACCACCAAGGTCTCCTTTATTTTTCTCTTCTTTGTCAGGATCTCCTTCAAGAATTTGGCATTGGCAGGCATTTATGAGAGAATTTACATGAACCTGTTTCAGTAAAACCAGAAATCTCCCAAACTGCTTGTCCAGCTTTTCTCTACATAGCTTTTGAGGAAGAGGTAAAGCAGGCATATACTTGCTCTCTTCAGGTTCCTCCCTTCTCAAAGTTTCTTCCTTATTTTTCTTCTCAGTTTTCATCAGGCCCTTCTTCTTTTTATCAACATCATTTTTCAGTTGCTTCCCACTTTCTTTTTCAAGTATCACATCATCCTGGATCCGGGTGGGATCTTTCAACACTCGCCCACTTCTCATGGTCACAACATTCACCATTTCTTTGGAATTCTTTTCTGTATCAGCGGGGAGAGTACCTGGAACTCTCTCAGATAATATTGTTGCAATCTGTCCCACTTGTCTCTCCATGTTTCGCAAACCAATGCCAAATATTTTGATAGCTGCTCCATGAGCGTCCAGCCTCTCATCTGTCTTGATAATAAAAGACTTCATTAGATCCTCTAGACCCGGTTGAATGGGCTGTTGAGGCTGAAATTGCTGCCTCTACTAATTTTGGTATGCTAGAGCTCCTTGTCCCTGCGGTTTAGAGTTATTTTGCTGCAAAGCATTAGTAGTACCTCCAGGTGAATCCATGAAAATATGGGGAGCCTCTGACCCATTGCATTGATATTGTAATTTCCCATAACACTTATTTCCTCAGTTGAGGATTGACACTTATGAGTAGGGTATCCTCTTCCACATCTATCACACACTGCATGAGGCTCACTTTGTATCGAGGCTAAGGTCAGCTTCCTTATCTCTTTGGCCATAGCATCAAGATGTACCTGCACAGATTTGTTAGCATCAACCTGGTGAACACCAGTTGATCTTCTTCTTTCTGTACTCTTAAAGTGCCATTGATTAGTATCTTCAGATAACTCATCAAGAATTGTAACTATCTCTTCAGGAGTCTTCTTCATCAACGGGCCTCCAGTTGCATTGCTCAATGTTCTACATGAGGCTGGTGTCAACCCATCCCAAAAGTCCTGGAGTTGCATCTAGAATTGAATTCGCTATGTTGACACTTTTGAACAATCTCCTTAAACCTCTCCCATGCTTCAAAAAATGTTTCAGTATAATTCTAGGTAAAGTTATGGATTTCTCTTCTAAACTTGCCCATTTTAGCTGAGGAGAAATATTTATCAAGGAATTTTCTGGTCATCTCCTCTCATGTTCTAATCGAACCCGTGGGCAGGCTACGAAGCCACTGCTTTGCATCAGCTTTAAGAGAAAAGGGGAATGTCCTTAAGTATACTTCATCTTGTGACACACCATTGTATTGAAAGGTGTTCATAATCTCCTCGAAGTTCATTAAATGTGTGTTTGGATCTTCATTTGGCTTCCCTCTGAAGACACAGCAATTCTGAAGAGTTTGAGGTAACCCTTACTTCAATTCAAAGTTGTTTGCTACAATTGGTCTAACACTTGATAAACCTTGATTGTAGACCGGTCTANTTTAGAGTTATTTTGCTGCAAAGCATTAGCAGTACCTCCAGGTGAATCCATGAAAATATGGGGAGCCTCTGACCCATTGCATTGATATTGTAATTTCCCATAACACTTATTTCCTCAGTTGAGGATTGACACTTATGAGTAGGGTATCCTCTTCCACATCTATCACACACTGCATGAGGCTCACTTTGTATCGAGGCTAAGGTCAGCTTCCTTATCTCTTTGGCCATAGCATCAAGATGTACCTGCACAGATTTGTTAGCATCAACCTGGTGAACACCAGTTGATCTTCTTCTTTCTGTACTCTTAAAGTGCCATTGATTAGTATCTTCAGATAACTCATCAAGAATTGTAACTATCTCTTCAGGAGTCTTCTTCATCAACGGGCCTCCAGTTGCATTGCTCAATGTTCTACATGAGGCTGGTGTCAACCCATCCCAAAAGTCCTGGAGTTGCATCTAGAATTGAATTCGCTATGTTGACACTTTTGAACAATCTCCTTAAACCTCTCCCATGCTTCAAAAAATGTTTCAGTATAATTCTAGGTAAAGTTATGGATTTCTCTTCTAAACTTGCCCATTTTAGCTGAGGAGAAATATTTATCAAGGAATTTTCTGGTCATCTCCTCTCATGTTCTAATCGAACCCGTGGGCAGGCTACGAAGCCACTGCATTGCATCAGCTTTAAGAGAAAAAGGGAATGTCCTTAAGTATACTTCATCTTGTGACACACCATTGTATTGAAAGGTGTTCATAATCTCCTCGAAGTTCATTAAATGTGTGTTTGGATCTTCATTTGGCTTCCCTCTGAAGACACAGCAATTCTGAAGAGTTTGAGGTAACCCTTACTTCAATTCAAAGTTGTTTGCTACAATTGGTCTAACACTTGATAAACCTTGATTGTAGACCGGTCTAGCATAATCGCCAAGTGGTCTTCCAGGCATGGGAGCTATATTTCTGAACTGGTCTACACCCAAGAGTTGATTTTGAGCAATTCTACGACCCCTCTCTTCTTTGTAGATAATTTGTGCATCTCTAATAGCTGCTTCTTCAGTATCCCATACAACTTGTTCTCGTCGTTGGGCTGTTTCTCTCGCAGCCAAATCTACATTATCCTCACCGTTTCCAGCCATAAGTTCTTTGGTTGAGGATTGCCCAAACTTTTCCGATGTCTCGATAAGATTTCTTTCCTTCCCCAGCTATCACGGTAGTTTTTCTATATCTGGCTCGTATGGTGGCACTTTTTTCGCAGAGGCTCAAGTCATGCACCAATCTAAACCTGTAACTTGTGCACTGTCAACAACACCAAACGTAAAAAGAGAAAAATAAAATAAAATAGAAAGAAAAATTCCTGAATTAGCACTAGAAACTATTTCAAACACTGTTGATTGCCAATCCCCG